TCATATTTTGTTCACATCATATATTTATATTATGCATTCAATTCTTTTTTAAAAGATTTTTTTTATTTATTTGAAAGGCAAAGTCACAGAGAAAACGGGAGAGGTAGAGAAAGAGAGTTCTTCTATACAGAAATTCATTTCCTGCCAACAGCCCTGAAGTCAGGAACCTGAAATTCTAACCGGGTCTCCCATAAGGTGACAGGGACTTAAGAACTGAGGTCACCTGCTATTTTCCAAGGAGCATTAGCAGAGAGCTGAACTGGAAGTGGAGCATCAAAGAGATGAGCTGGTACTCATATAGGATGCTGGTGTTGCAGTCAGCAGCCAAACCCAGTGCACCATAGTGCTGGTTCCTCATTCTGAGTCACCCTTAACAAATTAGTTCTGGCTTGGAGTAACCCAAGATGGGCCAACGAAGTATTGTGCTTTGTTTTGCATGCTTCCCATTTTGTGTCAGCTGTGGTGGCTACAACTCTAACATTTAAAGCTATGTTGAATGTTGTATTGAGTGGGAATATTCAATACACTCTCAAATGGGAAGCCAACTTCTTCATCTGGTCCTCCAGTGAAAACAGCCATGTTTTTCAACATTGACAGAAAAGCTGTTCTACTCAATATAACCAGATAGACAGTGGCACGTAGATTGCAAAGTAGCATCCTTGTTTGAAATCATTTTATGTCAAAAGCAAAAAAAGTCTAAGTGATTTTTGCTGCGAGAGAAGCAGTACTTGGATGTTACTGGGGTCTCATTGCTTCAAGTTTCTGGAATGACCTGATGGTGCTGGATTCTATGACAATGCAGATTCATTGTATGTCAAACTCTAGACTTTAATGTCTACAGAGCAATCAGTTTCATTGGCTATCACTGTTCCTTCAATAGAATAGTTTCCTAAGACATCTTTTTATTCCTTTTAGGGAGCAGTGTACATTCTCTAGAAATCAAATAGGCTTCCACTTGAAATGACCTGGTGTCTTAGAATAACAGTGTTTATTTCTGCAATTTGTCTTTGCTTTGGGTTCACTGTGGTCATCTGGGTTTAATATCCTGGGTGGTGGGAAATGAAAGGCACTATGTATTTTTCCTTGAGATTTCTCAAATTTGAATTTCCTGCTGTGAGTGTTCTCGCTGCTTGGTTGAAATTAGAGCAGGATGGACTTCTTGAACTGTCACCAAGTTGGCCACAGGCTTGTTCCAAGACCTCCTGCAGGGAAAGCTCCTTGAGGGGACAGCATGAAATGTCTCTGCAGGAGAGATTAAATGGTTTAATAATGTCCTATTAAACCCACAGCTTTCAAACAAAATCGAGGCTTTCAATAACACTTGTCACCCTGAAGCTCCAAGCTCCTATTTAGGTGATTTTAATCTCAGATAAGGATTCCACTTTTAGGAAAGAAGGTCTTGGCTACATTGTCACTTTTTTGTCCTTTTGGGGTGAGGGATCTAAGCATATGCCATTCTTTCAAAACATGCTACAGTGATTGCTTCTGTGGCTAGAAGAGGAAAGAAGTAGGTTTTGTACATAAATGAGAATAAATCATAGTAAAGCATAATCAAGAAATGAATTAAGCACCAGTTATGGTAACGTACTATGCATGGAGGAGTTTGGCTGTTTCAACTCCCTGCACATATATTAAATGAAGAAAGAAAAAAAATGAAAATAGAATAACACAAAGTAAGGGGACCAACCAGATCCTATCAGCACACAACATGTATTTGTTGTTTTCAAGCCCAGTAAACAAACAAAACTTCAAAAAAGTATTTAATTCCATCAGGGACATCAACAGAGGGGTTCCAAGTAGATTTTAGTTCCATTTAAACACTGTGTCATTTCTTATGTCAAAACCTTTTGATGCTCCTTATTATTTCTTGGGATGATTTAGATAGCATGGTCTTCTTTTTAAAAATACTCTCTATACTCTTTGTTGCTAAGTGATCTTTAAAGTAACTTTAAGTTTGGAACCATTGTAGAATTAGAGAAATGCTGCAAACTTAGTGTAAAGTTCTCATATACTGGATCTATTTTCCCCTAGTACTAACAGCTTAAGAAGACTATATATACATACATATATATTACAATCAGTAAACCAATATCAATGCATAGTTCTAACTAAAGCCCAGTGTATTCAGATTCCCCTTAGATTTTACCTAAAGCCTTTTGTGTTGTAGAGCCCCATTCAGGACATCGTGGTGTGGTTGGTAGTCCTGCCTTGTTTGGCTGCAAGAGCTTCACAGCCTTGCCTTGTCTGTGGAACCTCGCAGTTCTGTGAGTTACTGGTTAGGCATTCTGTTGAATGTTCCTCAGATCTCTTGGAGATTACCCCTGGAGTTCTGTCTGCTTAGCCTATGTGGGAGATCACAAGAATGTGGTATGCTGTATCCCAGGGAGTAACCCACTGACCATGGGCTTGGCTCACTGAGACCTCAACCTGGCCTGATCAGTGGTCTGTACCCAAGTCTCTCTTCTCTGTCCTTGGAAAAGCTGTGCTGGGACTTCCTTGATAAGCAACTCTGAGAAGTCAGGTACGATTACCTGCATGCCTACATGGTGCACATGACCCATAGCCTAACTGCTAGCTGTGAGTGTTGTACGTGAACTGTGACATGATTGGAGGGTCCAGAGAGAGAAAGAGACATGCCTTCTAGCCAATAACAGCGTTGTAATTGGGTGGGGGAACTGTCAGGGGATGCCCTTCTGCCTCCTCCTTTCTTACTCTAGATAAGTTTGTGTTTGCTTGATAATAAACAGGCATGTGCCATCAGACTATCTCTGGTGGTTTGTGCTGAGGAATGCTGCTGCAGCTTCATCCCCTTGGTGATTGCGGGAACGTGCTGCTCAGGAAACCCCCAAGAAAATTTGGTGTTATCAATAGACATGGGTTATATGACTTGGAGTGGAAGATAACAGACTTAAAGGGGATTTTTATTATGTCAAGAGTACATAGTACCAACAGGGATTATTATTTCTGATGTTCACATTGGTCTCTGGGCTGGATGATTGTTAAGTTTCTCCACTATAAAACTATACTTCCTCCCCTCTCTCTCCATATTTTACTATTTGGAAGGATATCTTACGTGGAGCCACACTTAAGGACCGGTGAATTACGTGGTATGTGGAGATGAGGCCTTTGGTGGTAAATGCATTTAGATTAGATGAGGGCTGGTCCTTTATCATGACATTAGTACCCTAAGAAGAGAGGTGGAACTCACTTCTCAACACATGTTTATTATGGAAAGGCCATATGAGTAGTACGTGGTAAATAGCTGTACCAGCCAGGAGGGGCCCTGCCAGGACCCGGATGTGCCAGCACCTTTATCAAAGACTTCCAGCCTATAGAACTGTGAAAAACATGTGTCTGTTGTTCACACCATCTTATCCGTGATGTTTTGTTATAGTAGTCAGAGCTAAGATGGAACCAACCTGGAAGTTTAGTCAAGTTTTTTATTTAAGTGTCTGTCTACTCACTTCTGGATGGCGAGATTTAGAGCAGCCATGTTGATTTTACCTCTAAGAAGTATCCCTGGGTCCACACAGTGTAATGGGCTTCCTCTCATTAAAGTTGCTGTGATTTTATTAGTTATTGTAATGAATAGAGTAATAGTAATAGCTCACTTACGTTTACTACCAACACTGTTAGGTCCTATTTTACCTCTCAGTAATGTTGCTTGACCTGACCCTTGAAAGAGCTAGTCTCTATGAAAAATTATAATTATTATTTCATGCTGCCACTTAAATTGAAATTCCAAGTACTAACTTTCCTGGGCAGGTAAGTTATAAGAGCTGGGGATTGGTTAGTGAACAAGCAATTCTCCATTCTGTTAGAGATGCAGGAGAGATAATCTATAGGGGATAGTGAGGGGATTTTTTTCCTCTGAGTCCGATAAGAGGCAGGACACAGGACCTTTGAAACTCAGAGGGAAATTTTGGAAAAATCTTAGGCAAACCAAGGATCCATAGGCACAAAAGCTGGGCAGACCCACGGGAGCATGGCAGCATGAAACTGTGTAGGAGAGGGTAGAGGCAAAGTTGAAAGGAGTGGAAGGAGATTTCAAGTAGGGGAAACTACATGAGCAAAGATAAGGAAAATGGAAGATGTCCCTGGGTAGGGAGCAGTGAACTGGAGCCAAGGCCTCTGTACTCATCTAATCTGCAAAGTGTGTCAAAAGCATCAGCCATATCAACAAAATCCTCTGTATAGACTGGTTAGCAATGTGTGTACTTACTTTCACAATATGTTCAATATATACATACACACATACACATATATTCATAAAATTCTTTGTGGATTGGATTTGCGAGAAATTTATTTCAACATGGGATATAAAGCCACCTGTAAAATGGAACAGGGAGGGTTTGCTCATCTTTCAAAATCTGAAATGTTAATATTTAATAAATCTGCTATGATCTTGCATTCATTTGGATGTGGTCATTGTTATGCAGGGGGTGTACTGCCTGGAAAGTAGAATACAGATGTTAAAACAAATCATTAGCAGTTTATCTAAATCGTGAATAATTATCCTCTTTGTTGTGTTTAGCAAATTGTTTAGAATGTTACCCAGATGTTATTTATTTGCGACTTAAACTGAGCCACAACTTTTTGTACAACTTGTTTTTTTCTTTTTCATTAAAAAGTAAAAAATTTTTTTGAGAGTGTGGCAGGAAATGGTTGGTCCAAAGACCTACACAGACGGGCTGGCTTAGACCCCAGTCAGGAGCTGGAATCAGAATACAGCATCCCCTCCAACTCCTTGAAACCCAAGGTGGGATGCAGTCATCTTAGCTTCTAGGCGAACTTCTTAGTTCCCGCCTCATAAGTTTAGTATACACATGTTCGTACAAGCATACCCAGTGGTTCATCAATTCAAGTATGTGTTAGAACTTTCTGGATGACTTTTGGAGCAATGATCACTGATCTGAGTCCTGCACAAGTGTTTCTGTTTAATTGACTTAGACTGAGATGCAAGAATCTACCTTCCTAGTAGGTTATGAAACCCACAGAGTTTACTTACCTGGCAGGGAAGACACCATGAGAATGTAGGTGGTTTTTCAGGGAAAGGTTCACCCTTTAACTCCAGATGTGCTGCCCCATGCGATATCCCCAAATATGGGAAACTCAGCTGCATAATTTATGGTGGTTGTTGGGGGGACTATGTTTGTACTCTCCTCTTTACCCCTCTCCCAAAAAAGAAGAAAAAAAATCCCATAAAAAACACTTGGAGATGATAGGAAAAATGAATTTATTCCCACTTCCCTTTGTTCCTCTTTTACTTTTCCTCCTCTTCTCTTTTTGTTCTGTTTCTCATCTCTCTCCTCTGCCACCTCCTTTTCTCTTTCTCTCTCTCCTATGTACATACACAGGCATAAATTACCTATCTATTTCTCTTATCGATCATAAATATAAATTCCCAAGGAACAACTGATTTGCAATGGCAGTTGTTGGTAATTTTGGTGATTCTTGTGAACATGAAAAAATGAGCAATGGTCATCTCTCATCCTTCCTGTTGCCAGGATTTTTTTCACTCTCCTTACATTCCATCATCGTTCCTCTGATCCTTTACAGAGCTGCCTGTTGCTCTCTGGAAACACGTCATTTCTTTCTCATTTTCTTTTTAATATCGTTTACAGAGTTGAGAGGAATGCACTCCCATGTGGGCCTCTGATTATGGTGGGGATGTCCAGGTATGGCAAAAGGGGGTGGATAGATTTTCAGTTTTTTTTTTTTTTTTAACTTGTGTCCACAAGAGAAGAGGTGGAAGGGCCATTCTTTGCTATGGAACTGCATCAGCACCTGGGGTTGGAGGGTGGTGATTTCATGACGGGAAATAACTCACTCTTCAAAGGTTCTAATGACATCAACTCACACTCATATTGGGGTAGAGATCTCCTCTCATATCTGCTTAACTCTGAAACGGGTTTTTATCTACTGCAATATCCTGTCTTCCTCTCATCTGTCAACAGGATGAATAATTAAATACAAACTTTGCCATCTGGGGAATAGTTCAACTCTCTTCATTCATTGGTTGAAGTTGACAAATATGTAATAAATCTTATGATGGTCTCACCATTGTGTGAATGCTGATTTTTAAAAAATGATTATTTGAAGGGAAGAGTTACAGAGACAGGGAGAAGCAAAGAGAGGAAGCATGCATGTGCCTGCTCACTGCCGGAGCTGGACCAGTTCTCCCGGTTCTTCACTATGGGTACAGGGCTCCATGGAATAGATCATTGTCTGCTTCCTTCCCAGGGACATTAGCAGGGAGTTGGATCACAAGTGGAGCAGCTGTGATTAGAAGAGGCACCCACATGGGATACTGGCACTGATGGCTGTGGCTTTACCCACTATGTCACCACATCAGCCCCATGGATTGTGATTTTTTTTTTATTGCTTGGATATGATTTTGGGTTTAGACAATGGCATGATCAACACAGCAAACCCAAAAGTAGGGTAGAAAACTATGACTGCAAGGAGAAATCAGTTCTGGCATTCTGTTGCACAGTACTCCATTGTATTTGGCATTTCAGAACAGTCAGAAGAAAGAATTTGAATGTTCTCAGCACAAGAAAATAATAAATGTAGGAGGTAACAGGCTAATTATTTTGATTTGATTATCACATAGTGTATATCTGTTTAGAAACATCACAATATGTACACTTACTACATGTTAATTGAAGCAAAAAATTAAAAATTCAATATACCAAAACAAAGACATAAATAAAAACATTCACAAACTCTATAAAAAGCAAAGCACAACAGCGAGATGAAGGAACAATTGAGGAACAACTGGTTCCTTCATGGGAGGAACAGCCATTTTCTGAGATAGCAAGATAAACACCTTTTCAAAAGTATGTGTAGGGCCTGGCGTGGTGGCGCAGTGGTTAAGGTCCTCGCCTTGCACGCCCAGGATCCCATATGGGCGCCGGTTCTAATCCTGGCAGCCCCGCTTCCCTTCCAGCTCCCTGCCTGTGGCCTGGGAAAGCAGTCGAGGACGGCCCAAAGCTTTGGGAACCTGCACCCGCGTGGGAGACCTGGAAGAGGCTCCTGGCTTTGGATCGGCATAGTATCGGCCCGTTGTGCTCACTTGGGGAGTGAATCATCGGACGGAAGATCTTCCTCTCTGTCTCTCCTCTCTGTATATCTGCCTTTCCAATGAAAAAATAATAAAAATAAATCTTTAAAAAAAAAAGTATGTGTAAATTTTGTGTCTAGAACTCCAGACATGCCATCAAGAGAGACACTTAGAAAAACTAGAAATTGAATTATTGTAGAAATAAACCTAAGTTCAGTGCTGACTTCTCGAAGATGTACATGTCTTTGACCAATTTGCTTGATTTTCTGTTAAGTAAAGGACAGGGTATAGGTGGTTTCTGAAACTTATTGCAGTGCCGGTATCCTTGGTGTTGTGACATTCCATGGACGAAGACATGAAGCAGCCTTTGATTAGAAGTGTACAAAGTCATTCAAGGGGACAATTCCATCTGTTACTCAAGTCTTAAACCTTAATTAATTATAAGATAATTTCTGGTGCTAGGAGGAAGATGAGAAATAGAGGACCCCCTTTGGACCACAAGAGTTTCACTCCTGGTTTATCACTAAAATATTTCCCCAGGATTTGGGGAGCCAGATGGTAACACTTTTGAAGATGCACTAAGGATTTGAATTCTGGTTCATATTAAATATCACATGTAAATTATTAATGTGTAGCAGATGTAAATGTATATTATTATACTGCATTAAACATTGATGCTGCAAAGACTGGTCTGTGACCTACCTGGAAATGCTGGGTACCATCACTGGTTCCATCACTAAAATCCAGATTCAGAATGAAAGTAGCTTAGGCAAATCTCTTACATAAATCTTTTTTGTCAGAATTAAATGCAAAGAATATGAGCGCTGTTCAAAATAAATGATAGTGTCTAACATTTTGTAAGGTCTTAGTATGAGTGGCTATTACTGTATGATGCTCAAAATTGTCAGAGAACAACTCTGATTAAGACCAACTGTACACTAGAAATCGATCTAGGGATAGTGATTTGGAGCTGGGGTATGTATTTTCATGATTTATGGAAAACCTACCTTCTGGTGAGATGAGACAATGAACACTTAAACAAATAAATGAACAAATAAATGCCATGAAGTAGGCAGAGCAGAAATATTGTAATGCTAAGGGGCCGGCCCTTGAGGAATAGGGATACAGGTAAATTCACTTAAAAGTAATTTCCTAAAAACAACTGAACAATGCCTAGTATGATGAAACATCAACTTGCTGGAAGCCTGTTATCATTAATCTTACAATTTTACATGTTTCTTCAACATCCTCTAATATGCCATTTTTTTTTTTACAATGCCAGTTTTCTTTGTTAAAACATTTGCTCATTTCAAAGGCAGAGTAGGACAGAGGTTTCCACATGATGGCTCACTTCCTATAGGGCTAGAGTAGTCAGGTCTGAAACACACCAAAGTCAGGAACTCCAACCTCATATTCCATGTAGGTGGCAGGCACCCCAGTAATCGGGCTGTTTACTTCTGTCTTCCCAGGTGCCTTAGCAAGATATAAGGGAGGATGTACAGTTGCCAGGACCGGAACTAGTGCTCTGAGACAGGATCCTAGCATCATAAGTGGCTTATCTATCCCAGAAAGACAGCTTTTTGAGTATTGTAATTTTTTTTACTATTGTGCATACATCCTTGTCAAGAATAGCTCTATTTTCCAAAGCATTTTCTCACCTAGTATATGACTCCTTTATCATCTCCAAATTCATTTTTTGCATTATTTTGTTTGCCTCATTTTTCCCCATGAAAGGTTTCAAATAATGTGCAGAAAGACAGCTTAGAATCTCTTGTGTAAAAATGAAAGCAGAGTAGACTAGACACGCTGCTTGAAAAATGGCTGCTGCCACTTTCTTCAAGTGGCTCAACCCTTCCTCTGCCATGCTAACACTGGGAGAATCACCTTGTTGGTATCTCTTTAATTATACCACATCCGGGCCTTTCTCTACTCTCCCAGGATCAATTCATTTCAAGCACCTGACTGCCGTAGATGCCAGTGAGGCCCCTCAGTTTTCAATTTTGTTTACCTGACAACTCGTAAAGACTGTAAACTGTTTGATGTGTCAGTGTTACCTGTCCTTTATTATGGAGCTTGGAAGGTCAAAAGTGACATTGCTATAATCATTTGTAACCCCAGTACAGGTTTGTGACCACATTCATCAAATTTTCTTTTTTTTTTTAAGATTTATTTATTTATTGGAAAGTCAGATATACAGAGAGGAGGAGAGACAGAGAGCAAGAACTTCTGTCCGATGATTCACTCCCCAAATGAGTGCAGTGGCAGATGCTATGCCGATCTGAAGCCAGGATCCAGGAACTTCCTCTGGTCTCCCACACAGGTGCAGGGTCCCAAAGCTTTGGGCCGTCTTGACTGCTTTCCCAGGCCACGTGCAGGGAGCTGGATGGGAAGCGGAGCTGCCAGGATTAGAACCGGCGCCCATATGGGATCCCGGGTGGTTCAAGGTGAGGACTTTAGCCGCTAGGCCACACCGCTGGGCCCAATTCATCCAATTTTCATGCTGTTGTCTGGAGGTGAACAGAAACACAAAGAAGGGGCGGTGTTCAATGTGGAGTCCAACATTTCTAACCAGTGAGTTTGGAAGGTGTCCAGGGCAGCTGTGGTAGTACTACGACACCCAGGACAGTGTGTCGCATATACAGTAGTAGCAGGTTGTTCTGGGGTGGTCACATGGATGTTTCTTTGGATGCTTTTCTACAGTTTCATGTATTCAGGACTGTGTATCCTGGTCTGGTCACTTGAATCTCCTAAAGATCTCATGAAACGCATGGCAACTAAATTGCTGTTGCTTGAGCTAACTGGAATTGGTTCTGTTGTCTTCAGCTAAAACTCTGATCAATATGTCTGATGTGTCTATATTTTATTAAAGCACTTGATGAGCAAAAGCTTTGAAGAATGGGTGCTATAATGGTGAATAACATACTCAGCTCACTGGAAAGGAACTAATTCATACCGTGCAGGAAGTCACTCATTTTTTTTCTATTCATAAATCCAGTTGCCTCTTCCTTCTTTCTCATGTTGCCCTTATTTAACATGAATCCAAAAATCCACAAAAAGAACTAATATTTGTTTATTTTTAATGGAAAGACAGATTTACAGAG